AACAGTAAACAAGGACACGTACCTTCGCGGAGTCGAAACAAAGCGCGAGGGACCGAGATAAAAAAATAAGGAAATCCCCCAAAAAGCATATCTCTGATAACTCCATAAAACGACGATACGCGACTATCTCCCCGCGAAAAAATTCCCCTTCGGGAAAGAAATTATTCCAACAACAATTTCAACCTTCAACTATTGTATTATATTATAATATTGTTTAAATGTGCGAGGGAAAAAAAATCCGGATTTAAAAAAAAGAAGGAGGACTTACCTGATTCTCTTCGTCTTCTTTCATTTTCTTCAACTTAGTCGCTCCTGGTGTGTGCCTCCGGGTGATTTATCGAAATTCGAAGTCGCGATCGTCCCGCAACGTCTCCGCGGACGGAGGGCACGCGGATCACTCGGAATTGAATGCAGATTTCCTTTGTTCGGGGCGTCGGCGTGTGCGCTCTTTGTTGACAATGAGCACGCGCGATCACACACGGAGTCGTAGCTCGCTTGGCCAAGTGCTCGGTACGCTCGCACACTCGCGTACTCGATACCGTACATACGTACACATACCTCCTGGGAACCGTACATACGCACCGGCGGTTATCTGCATCACAAAGCGGCCGCTCGGTTGGCCTACATATCCCGAGCCTCGTCACCCATTAACTTTGCGGCCAACACTTATCGCCTTATCCTGCCGATAATTCCGCAAGAAATTCGCCGATTCGCGTACCGAGGTTGCTCTATGTCGCGCCTCTCCTTAGACCTCCAGAATCGAAATTACGTAATTAATCTTTAACAAATCGCGAAAGAAATTCAATTAAATTGTATTTCGGAGGTAAATGGTATTGAGTCTTTTGTTGATATGACTTGATACGATATATCTCTATGTCGCGCCTCTCCTTAGACCTCCAGAATCGAAATTACGTAATTAATCTTTAACAAACCGCGAAAGAAATTCAATTAAATTGTATTTCGGAGGTAAATGGTATTGAGTCTTTTGTTGATATGACTTGATACGATATATCTCTATGATAGGCGTTATCGAGTACTTTCTTTTCTTTCGACCGATTTTCAGTTCCTCTCCTGGAATCCGTGGGAATGGATTTTCCTGGGGATTTTCAGGCCGACAATTAACAGGAGGGAGATCACACGAGTGCGCCTCGTCTTAATGGAATTTCCATCCATTTTAGGATTTGGTCATGAAGTCGTTTAAGGAGATCTAGGTGCACGTCCTTCGACGGGAATGTCCTCGGACCCTTGATTGGGAATCGGCGATCGATCTCTAGGAATGGCGAGGGACACCGGGAATCGTTAGACATGAAAACACGGAGTCGGGAGAGAAACAAATCGAAAAGATTAAATATCAAAATTGATAAATCACATTAGAAAATGTCTACGCGGTCGAATCCTGCGGAACATCGAATAATCTCCATTTTAACCTGTTTTCGCGATTTCTCAATTACATATCCTGCCTCGCGAGTACAGGCAATTATTCTCTCCCTCTATTCGCGCATCTTTTATTTATTTCCCGTAATTAGACCCGCGGCAATCAGCGAGCGCGTATGTACGTGACATGTTTCCGTGACTCCGCCGAGTGCGTGTGTACCTTCGACAAAGACGTATTTTCTCCGTCAAAATGGCGAAGAGGAATTATTCCTAAGACGAGTATCCAGCATCGAAGAATCCTCTTTTTCCGCGGAGCGATCCTCCTAGGAGAGTCCTTGCGCGATTCTTATACTCTCTCGTCAGCCATTACCTGCCAAAGGACGAAACGCGAGAACGTGGCTATTATGGAAAATCTAAAAATAATCTTAGAAGCTCCATTGCGAAACCGTGGATGCGCATTCCCGGCGCGGCCTCTGGTTAAATATTCCCGCGATCGCGGGAAAAATACCGGAAACGCCACCGGAAGTAAGGTCGAGGACGCGGTCCTTGGTAGTTAAAAATTCCCCCGTCCTTGAGTTTTTCTTCAATTATAATTCAGCCTCATTTAATTCCAAGCTAAGTCGTAACGCGTGGTCATGTATACGGTATGAGAGAGAAATGATGCATCGATCTCCTCGCGACGAGATGGGAAATCGACGATCGCCGATGCACTCGGGATGCAATTGCGGATGCGACCAATCAGACGCATCTGTCCGAGGAAACGTCTCCGACGTATCGGCGAAACGTATAAAAAAATCCCCCCCGCGGTTGAAATTACCATTCCAATTGCGCCTCATCCTCCTCGTTGACCCCAGCGGAGGGTCCGCGACGGAGGACTAAACATCGAAATTTATCACCGAAACACGCGACAAATAAAAACCCGAATCCTCTTAAAACATTACGTACTTTAATAATAAATAAAAACCCTGGATACTCGTTTCGGGCTACACCTCGCGTAAGGCCTGATTCTGAATTTTTTCGCGTACATCATTTTTATTTAATATAAAAAAAATAATTCAGCTAGAGCTGAGAAATTAACCGCGGATGGTAATCCTTAGGAAATCGATAGTCTGGTATCGAGTACCGAAGAAACGCGGAGGAATCCGCGGAATTTCCCGGCCCGTTTACGTATATCTCGCACATTCCTCGGAAGCCAAGGTAAATGGAAAGAAAAACAACGTTGTTCCTCCCCGTACGATGTGGCCATGCCAACAACACGTTATATACTGCGTACACTCTCCCGAGCGGTCGTCCTCAACCTGATACCAAGGTTCCCCCCTCTTCCCCTCCCCCCCGTAGAGACCTTCGATCCGAGATCGATCAGAAAAAAAAATCCCAATCCCCCTGGAAAACCCAAAATCCTAACATTTTCCCTAATCGAACATTAAAAGATGAACTTCCCCAAAGATATTAACGGTAAGGCGCGTCTTAATCAGAGTTTGATAAAGATTGAGATGCTAAATGGGGTATTTTGTTAAACGTTTTAAGGAAGATTAATATAAGAAAAAAAGGTTTTACGTGGCGGGGCAAGTATAAGCGGACTTTAATGGGAAGGTAGGTAAAAGTGGAAAATGCCAGGGACTGCGTGATAACGCCGCGCGATAAACGAGTGATAACGGAGGTGATATCCGGCGCGCCTCCTGGTTCGACTGGCTCGGTTCGTTTGGCCGAGGAAATCGAGACATCTGGATATGAATTCCCTGATAGAGGAGCTTATTATTAATACTTCTTTACTTACGATTCTTATACTTTTTACCTTTCCCTCCTCTCGGTCGGTATATTTCTCCGCGAGCGTTCCAGGGAAAACGTCGCCGTTCTGCGGAGTTCCGACCGTATGGAGGATCGATCGCAGCCCGGTGTAATGTCACGAGGAGTCATTATCTCGATTTGCAGGGTCATGGCGAACGGTAATGCGAAATGGCCAATCGAGCCGATAGATAAAGCCCGCCGGACGGTTTCTTTGCCGAACCTTGGCCTAAGATTTCCCATTAAATCTCTCCTTCTATATCTCCATCGGTTTTTAATATAAAAAAAATATTTTAAAGAGAGGAAAAAATCTCGGCATTATCTATTTACCTTCTTAAATCTTTTCGACGAGCCCTGGTGTACGCATAACGTGGTTTTTATTTACGAGATAACTAGGAAAGAGGAAGAGGCATCCGTCGCGTCTCTTTCATCTCCCGCCTCGGTTCCCTCGTAACACGTGAGAACTATAATATGTCCGTCGTCGTTCGGCGAGGTCATCCTAAGAAAAAGGACCCTGCCCTAAGTTATAGCCCTTCTAAACTCTTAGCGGCTGGCCTAAGATCAACAAATTAACGGGTAGGTAAAAATAACCCCGTCCCTCTTGCCGGTACAGTGAAAAGAAAGAGCTCTCCGAGCGAAGGGTCCCCGTCTCGAAATCCCCGAAAAAAAGAAAATAAATAAATAATAATTTCCCGAGCTTTTTCCTCCACAATTTTCAGTTAGCTGGCACCTCTCCTCGCCTATACGCTAAACCGTCAGAATTAACCGGGGTAAATATCAATGTATTGTTTAATTGATACCCCGGCCAACAATGGCGATGTCGATCGCCTGTAACGAGCTCGTTAGAGCGGCTATTTAAAACCACCCTTCCCGTAGGGGAAGCAATAAAGCAATTCGGCGACCCGTGCACCTGGATTTTCCTCGAAAAAGGGAGTCGTTAACGAAACATTGTTTATTGCAGTCAGAGGTGGGGGCACTTCAGGTTAATTCGAGCCCGACCCGATTAAGGGGATCAATTGTCCCAATTTACTGGCAATGGCGTCCTAAAACGTCCCCGTTTTGTTTTTTCGGGACGCCATACCCTCCCCCTACCTCCTGCCCATGCTTTTAACAATTGTTACTGCGGATGAAAGTGATTAAAAATAGTCTATCCCCCGCTGGGAAGAAAAACCGCGGGACCGCGAGGATAGGCAACAATGGCCTGCGGAATCCCGACTTCTATCACTGCCGTGATCTGGCTCCGATCTTAATTCCTCCTAAGAACTTTTCCCAATTGAGTCAATTAGTCAATTGCAATAGTTAAGCCAACTAAGGGGAAGAGGGCCCGTTCCTTTTGCTTTTCTATCCCGGGTTACTCCGGAGGGCCCTCTTCCCTTTTTTTAAGCCCGCCTCGAAATTGGCACCACCAACTGCAAGAACATGGCCAAAAATAAATCACCAACTCCATCCGCCTAATTGCGATCTAATTAACAGGAGGCAGACGTAAGTACAAACGGATGAGTGTAATATAGTGAAATTTATTTTCATATTTCATTCAAAAATAAAATTATTCGTAAAAAAAGATTTCTCCGCGCGCGAGCGCGCTCTCTCTCACTTTCTCTCTCTCTTGGTATATATAATATATAACATATATGTATATATATATTTATATATATATAATATTATTACATCATATAATAATATAGCAATATTTACTCTCGTTATGAAATAGGGGTTATGCGTAACTCTATTATGGTGTGTCCGAGTGAGTGAAAATCTTTTGCGTTCCTAAACGTCAAGAATATCTACTCTTACCGCAGTAGTACACGACTAATGTACATATTCATCTAATGGGGTTTTCGCTTAATTGCTAAATCACATGTAGTTTTCATTACTTTCTTACGTTTGTGCAACGCCTCCTCTTCCTCCTCTCTCTCTCTCTTTCTCTCGCCCCCTTTCGCTCGGCGCCTCGCCTCGCCGTCGTATAATAATTAGTTATTAATGTTCCCTAACGCGCCAATCAACGATTCTTTATACGATTTCTAGGTCGCTGTTTTACGACGCGTTTCACGATTCTCGCTTGCGAAATCCCAAGGTGCATCGCAAAGAGGAACGGGAGGGAAGAATATAAAAGATTGCGAAGAAAAAAAAACTGTGGGAGGGAAAGAACACATCCGAAGCTTCGATTTCGCGCTTATTCTCATTAAAAAAGTTCCTACAAAGGCACTCCGCAATAATGGTCTGTACAAAAGTGGTCAGAAAATAGAACGCCTCGATTTAGCGCGTCGAAAATCGTGTTGCTCAACGGTGTAAAAAGATGGAGGAAGAAGAAAAGGAAAAGAAGAGAGGCCGAAGCACCGTGAGATTCGGCACGACCTACACCGGCGGAGAAAGCGAATTTCATTACGGCCGCAAGGAAAGACCCCGACGAAATTGCATTTGGAGTTTGTCCCGGAAATGGCAAGCGCTTCTTACATCTAGAAGAACGGCGAGTTGCCGAGCGATTCGCGCTTACATATTATTTTCCCCCTTCAGGGCGCGACATAGTCCGTTCAAGCGCGCGCGCCATTTTGGACGAGAATCCATCGGTTCGATCGCTCGCATTAAGCTAATTAACCTCGCCCCAGGATCCGAGGGATCCATCGCAGGGATACATCGAATCTAAGGAAAATTCTTCCGAGAAAGAAAAGCACCGAGAGGACCCCCGCGAAGCCCCGGAAGGGAAGGCAAAACTCTCGGAAGAGGCGGCGACGCCGGACAAAAATCCAAAATGGCGCCCTCCGAGTATCTCCTACAAGGCACACCTTAAACAGTAAACCCTTGATCGCGTGACGTCTCTTCTGCGGGGAGAAGGACCTGCGAGAAAACCCCTCTCGGAGGGTAGAAGAGGCCCCATGGTGTCCTCCGCCTCTTCCTACCGCTAAAAAGTCCGTATAAAAAATCGAATCTCTGCCCCCGGGGTTAATCTCCTTCCCCGAGAGTCCTCTCGATATCTCCCCTCGCCGAAATATTAATTCGCAATTAAAACGTTAAGGTCGAAATACCGCCGAGCGAAGAAGAAATCCGAGAACGGTCCGTCTCGCCTCGTGCCCCTGGTCGGAATAATAAAATCTCGCGTCACAGACTCGCGGCATAAATAAATTAATATTAAGACAGACCGGCCGCGTCGTTCGACGAGCCGGGAGAATCGATGGCGATTATCGCGAGCGGCATAAATACATCTCCGACAAGGGGCAAGGAGCGAAAAAATTCCCAGACGAGGCCGAGGTCGTCCCTCCAGGTTTTCCGGAGAAAATGGAGAAGTTACAGATTGATAGCGAACGTTTAGAACTGAAGAAACGACGGGAAAAATTTTTTTTATATTCTAGGAGCCGTCGACGCTAGGCTTTCCGTTGTCGCGAGCCGCGGCGGCTCCAGGGGAAACGGGCCAATGGCCGTCCCGCCGGTTTGTCTATGCCGCGCGCTGCGCCGATGTGCATATACGTTGCGTAAGTGTGTGTATGTGTATGTATGTACGTATGTATACGTACGTCTGCGTGTGTATAAGTTACGAGGGCATACTGGACAGGACTAGATGCACAAGTGACGCGTTACGGGAACACAGACACGTCGGCGATCAAGCCAGCCCAAAAGAGCGACCTCGAAACCCTAAAAGAAGAAAAAAAATCCCTGAAAACGGCAACTTTCGACTCCGCTCCTTAAAACATCCGCATAATCTCCCAGTCATTAAGACCGGTGCAATCCACCCTTCGCCATGATCAAGGGAACGGTCAATTCCGAGTTAATAAAATGATCTCGCCAGTCCGACAAAGAATGTGTCCAAAATATTGCGGCTACTTCCACGAATCTCGACGTAATATTAATTTCCCCTCGAGACGAGGCACGGTATCCTCGGTGAAAGATGAAGAGTATTTCGTCCCAGTAATGCATTCTCGGGATTTCCCGCAAACTACCGCGTATCCCTCGACTATCGACGACGACATATCAATGGCACGCGGTCGAGAAATTTCTAAATCCGTCGGTCGTCGGCGCCGTTCGAATTTCCCGCGTGCGTTCTCCAAAATGGCCGCCACAGCGCGACTCCAGGGGCCACTGGACGTCGCCGTAGTTCCAGGACGCTGCCAAGAGGTTCACGCCGCGTAGTTGCTTCGAGATAACGAAACAAAAGGTACAGGTCACCCTCGTCGTTCGTTTCTCGATTCTCGGCTTTCCAGGAGACGTCGTAGGAGTCCGGCGAAGGTCCCCGGAACGCTGGCGTCACGCCGACCCTGGGCTTGGAAAGTATCTCTCCCTCGAGAAGACGCCTCGCCCATTTCAGAACTGACCCGACACGGTCATGATCTGGCACCCCGAGTGGACGTGGTCCATAACTTGTTCCTTGAGGCGACACACGTGCTCCTTCAGCCTGTGGACCACCGCACTGAGCTCGCTGTTCTCTCCCTTGAGCAGCTTAACCTTGTCCTCGAGCCTGGAGATCCTCTCCAGTTTGCGCCTGCGACACTTGGAGGCAGCCACGCGGTTCCTCTGCCTCTTCCTCTCGAGCTTTATCCTCTCCTGGCTCTCCATGTCGATGGGCGACATGGGAGGCGAACTCGAGACGCTGGGTACCGTCTGGGGCTCGTCCTTGATCTGCATGAGACCTTGACTGAGGGACTCGGTGCTGCTCTGTATACTGCCCGGAGGTTCCAGAGTGGTATAGGTGGCCCCGTGGATGCTCCCCGGTTCCTGCGAGCTGTCCGAGTGGTGCAGCTCATTCAGGGCGTCCACGAATCCTCTGGCGTAGAGTTCTTGCGCTTCGGTGACGGTCTTGGGGAAGAGTATCTGCGTCGTGGGCGTAGGGACCGAAGTCATCAGGGTATCCTGCTGCGCGATGATGAGCTTTTCCAGCTCCGGAGAACCCAACTTGAGCATGTGGAAGTCCGGGGAGGTGAGAACCGGGGCCAAAGCGTTCAGAGCCGGGGGCAGAGGACCTAGACGTGGCCTCTTGGCCTGGGGTTGCCTCGTTCCGCCGTTCAGGTCCAACGTCAGATTCCTTTTAAGCTGGCCCATGTTCTCCCGATTGGTGGTACCGTAGATGATGCTCTCCTCGTAGAACGTCGACTCCATGTTCGCCGAGCTGCGCACCATCGGTGCTTAACCGAAGACGATCGAAGCCCTAAAATGAGTCTCTCTTCTTTCTCTTTTCTCTCCTCCACCTAGAGTGACCACTTTCTCCTCTCGAGTTCCACTCAAGAGCGATAAATAAATATATTAACTGAAACCGTTAATTTCCTTGCCTTAATTCCTCCTTCCTCGAGAGTGTTTTACCGTGGCCGAAGTTTCTTGGTAAACCTTTTACGCGTCTCGCAACTCGCCTTATCTCGTCCTCTCTCTTCCACTCGGCCGAGAGCGAAGGATAAACTTTCCGAAACTCCCTTAATAACCACCTCCCCACTACTCGCACTCGTCCTCGAGATCGCAACCTGCGTCTCGCGTTTCCGTTCGGCCCAGGGCGCGATTAATCGTCGCCGATCCCGATAATAAGAAGGAAACGCGAGTAGAGTTCCGGCAGACCTCTTTTTGCGCCTCCCCGAGACTCGCGATCTGCCTCTGGCTCGCTCTTTCTCTCCTTCCGGCGGTCGCTCTCGCCACGTCTCTCTCGCTCCTTCCGTCCGGCCGATAGCTCCTTCTCACTCCGTTACATAACTCGCCGCGGTCCCCGGAGGCTAGCGCCGAGCCGTAGTAGTGGTGAGCGGACTCGCGTGAACTCGGCCACGTGAGGGGAGACCCTTCACGCGAGGGTCCTCACCGGACGAACCGCCCGAAATTCCGACGAAATCGCGACACCGGTCGCCGATAGAGTCCGCTGCTGCGCACTCCGCTCGCACCGACTGCCGCTCCCGACTGTCAACACAACAATGACTCACGAGTCACGGCACTCTCCGATGCCGGCGCGAACTATCCGCCTAGTAAGGCGCGCGAGCGCACATGCACGGCACCCGCGACGCACCTTGCACGGCTCGAACGACCGTGGACTAACCGTGGACTAACCGTCCAGACCCGATCGCCGACTCTGGCTTACGACGGAGCGATCGGAACAACCTGCGCGTACTCTAGCCGCGGGACGACTCTCCGCCACCTCGCACCGTGCAGTCTCGGCAACTTGTGAACGGCCAACTAAACGTTCATCCTTATATCCCGTGACTCACGCCGGCTAAAAATAGGGACTGGCATCACGAGCGGGCCCTGGGATTGGCTGCCGGTGGCGTCATGGCTGCCCTCCCATTGGCCGAGTGCGCCGCGCTACTAGGAACTGGGTGGCGCCTGCGCGCCTCGGCCGCGACGCGAGACCGTGGGGGGAGAATTTGAACGCCGCGCGCCGCCGGTAAGGAGGGAACCGTTACGCGCAAGCGAAACAGCGGCGCCATCTCGCTTTCCGCCAGTGCACATTGCCGCAGGTAACTTGTTTACTCGCAGAGTATTACCCGGCTTTTACTTACAGGGATGATTACCGTATTGTCCTCGTAGAGACCCCAACAGGCGCTTTTGAGAGATTTAATGCGGTGCCCATTCTCGACCGCAGGTAAAATGTTCAAGAAGTTCCGGATATTCAGGGGTGAGTTATCTTAAAACTTCTCCCGAATGGTTCTTCTACTTGGGACACCACTTAATCTCGCAAGTCGTAAAGGTAATTGCACCGGATTGCGAAACTGCCGGTCGAGCTGATAGATAATCCTCATTGTAAGCGGATTACCATTGTTCGATATTCTACAGGGGGAAAGCCTCCCCTTAGAGTGACTCTCCATTTCGAGGAATAGTATGACGAATCGCTTGTTTTTCCATTTATTCCAGAAATTCTCAAAAGGTATATACCCTGTCAGAATTGTTTTCAAGTATCGAAAATTTATTTGGGAAAGTTCCAAGAGCGTTCGAATCCATCGTAAATCAAGAGAAGTTTTGCAATCATTCGGACAGAAGAGGGAAATCTTCCATATGAACGTCCCACCCATCAAACGAAGAATAACGGAAGTCCGGATAATCTTCTCTTTATCAGCAGTACCTCAGAAACTCCCGTGATAAGGATCTCAAGGTTTCAGGTCAATTGTTTTCTAAATTGCAATCCTGCGTACACGCCATAAAAGCAAATTTCTGATGGACTATTCTTGGCTTTCAGATATTTTTAGGAAATTTAATTGGAGCTCGACTGCCAGGAGTGGAAATAATCCACTCATGAATTTTCAACGTCCAGCACGAAAACCCACCCCATGAACCCTGTAATTTCGTTTTTAGTGCCCAATCGACAAACAAATCGGTCCCGGCACTATCTCGCAATTAATGTCGGGGAAGGAGGAAGACAACCCTTAACGACGAATACAACGTACAACCTAGTTATTATTTACAACAACGTATCAATGCTTTTTCTTTTTATCATCTGTCACAATCGCTTATCACACATTTTACAAAAAACGCTGGCTCAGTCGTGCTTGGCGAGTCGTAAGACGTAATCCAAAAACTGGACGCATTGATCGCGGGTCGTCCAATGAGCGCGTGAGAACGTAAGTCTTACATAAAAATACATACGTGCACCCATGCATGCTTACGCGCATACCCACATACATAAATATATATATATATATATAATATATGTATTATATATTTATAGCAATAAGTTCCACCGCGACGCGCTCAACGCGACGCGAGTCGATCAAGGGTTTCGATTACTCCAAAGAGATTCGCCGGAAATCCCCCCGCAGGACAAGTCGGGATCCGCTGAAATCCGGAAGTCGCCGGGAATTCGGAAATGAACGGCGGAGTCGGAAGAGAAATGAAAATGAAAGAAAGAAGAGCGAGGAGAAGAATTCGGCAAGGACTCGCTCGAATAACTTCGCAGGGCTTTTAATACTGAAATAATACTTCGGTTTCTTGGTACGGTCGAAACAACGAGAATTACCCTGGACGGTGGATCTGGAGGATCCAGGGCGGGGATCTCGATCCCTGACAGGATCTTGGGAACGAGGGAGAGACCTCGCGAGAGCGTATTTGGGGAAATCAATTGTTCGCGCCTTTAAAATGCGACTAGACGAAGGAAATGTCAATGTCGAGCTTGGGGAAAAATAGTTTAATAATTAATAAGCATCGAGTACTTGGATGTTATCAGAGTAGTGGTTCTTTGGGACGATCGTGGGTCGTTTTCCAAATGAGGCGTTTTCCCCAGATCCGTTCTTAGGGTAATTACCGAGCCCGTTGTCGCGAGTGTCGCAACAATACGCCGAGACAACGGCGAGCCGCGATCGCCGGTCAAAGACACGACCGAAACGTGGGAGGATAAATGACAAAATGGCTTTGACTGACCGTCGAACAATGTCCACGAAGTCTTCGAGGAGGCACGCGTCGAGGAGACGCGTATTTTCCCGCTTTACCCCCGGAATACCAATTTCGAGCGTGCCTTTGACGCGCACTTTTACGGCAGGAACGATTGTAGCATACCGCCGACTATAAAATCCAGGCTCAGGATAAAATCCAAAATCTCGCCCGCGAGAAAGAAAGGAGGAGAAGATATGGAACGAAAGGAAGGAGAAGAAAGACGAGTAAAACGCGTAAAAAAAAATAGCGCTATTCCCTCTCGGGCGCGAGTCGATGCGCTTCTGCGAGACTATTTCGACCCTGTTTCGAAAAATCGGATGTACTCTTTTCCGTCTCTCTTCTTGCTCGTTTCCCTCTTCTCTGACGACCGGACCGTGCGATTCGGATACGGGAAACGGTGGACGCGGACAGCCGAAAAGGATGGACGGATGTCTGTCGCGAGGCGAAATGTCGATACTCCTCGTACCGCGCGGATAGTTATCTCCCTCTTTTTTCATTTTCTGCCTTTCTACATCATCGCTCCTTCCTACGATTAATCCGGACTCTATCCTTTCTCTGTCACGACCCTGTCGTACCGATTTTCAATTATTCGGCCGATCGTTTCGCTGAAAGTACAATTCCCAGTCGACCTTGTTCCTACAAATTCCTGATTGCGATTTTTCCTTTTTTTTCGGTCGCCCTTTCAATACGATTTTCTCTTCACCCACTCGTCCAGGCACACACATATAAAAGTAACTTCATCATATNTATTTGTATATAGGTATATGTGTCGTTAAAACATCACGCACCTTTCCACGATGGGATAGGCTTGGCAGGCGGACGCATCTGTGTGGGAGTTGCGCCCTTACGATTCCTAAACTAACAAATTCCCACCGATTGAATTTCAATGAAGATATCCCGATTCGAAGGACAAAAAAATCAAGGAGCCGTAGACACCGGAAGTGGGAAAAATTTCCACCGATAAAGGAAGGTGAAACGGAATTTCTGCGGGATTTCCCAAAATGCAAATCGCACATTGTGTGAAGTACGGGACTTTAATTGTTATTAACAAAGAGCCGTAGGGGCTCGGATAACGAATTTACCGACTACCCACTCCAAGGACTCCCATTTAAGAAAGGCATTGTTGAAGAAGATGAGAGAGACAATCGACATGCACGAGTCGAGAGCGCAACTCCGTGGACCCTTTCAGAAACTCCGGCCCGCAGTCGGAATTCATTAACACCTTTTGGAGTAAGATTTCCTCTGAATAAGTATGTATATATCCATGGACAAGGCACTGCTCGACGAATCGGTCCCCGTGGTCCTAAATCCTCTTCCGTTGTTTTAGGGAAAAAAGGAAAAAAAAAAAGAGAAACTGGCCAAGATAGTACAAAGCATCGAGCGAAGCCCTCGAAGAAGGCCAACAAGGGAGGACTTAGCACCGGGGACCTGGACAAACGTTTTAAACTCTAAAGTGGGAGAAATCTCGGTTACGAAGGGAGCCGGAAACGCATTTTTAGGGGTTTTTCCATTTTTCAGCCCCTGGATTGCTGTATTGCTGTCGCGGCCGAGCAATTCGCCCCTTCCGAGGGCTGAAGCACATTGTTCTCCATGAATTGACACCTCGTCAGGATCGAGGATTTCCAGGATCGAATCGTCACTGCGAGACTCCGCTTCGCGGGAGCGAGGAAATTATTTATAAATCGGGCAAACTAGGATGAGTAAGAAAGTTGATTAAAAAGAGACAAAAAAAATAAAAGGAAAAGGGCGAGAGAAAAGGAGGTAGTTTTACCTAAATAACCTTTTCGCGTCGCGGTTCGACCACCTGTTGCGCACCGCGCAATCGGGCCCGGGGTCCTTTCTTCCTTGGCGTTTACGAGGGTTGCATCTATTATGTGCAAACAGAGTTGGGTTTACTCTATCCGACGACGTACGAATATGCTTGGAAATTAATGTTCCCGAGAATGATGCATTCAAGTTGGACGTTTCGGTAGGGGTTAAGTCAGGCGAGCGGCAGAGTTAATTTTTAGGTACATTCCCCGAGGAGGGCTTTCAAAGCAAGGACGCCTGGACGGAACTTCTTCTACATTTTCTAAACCATCTTCTACCAGAGCTGCATTTTCACGAAACCGATGCATCCCTCGTAATCGACGACCAAACGAAGAATCGTCCCTGGAATAAGGGTTAATTCCAAATAGGTTACTAAGTCCTTTTCGAGGAACCGAAAAGCCTTAAAAAACGTGAGTCCCCGCGCGCCCTTTGTTTGCCTTCAAGAAAGAACAAATGTTCCACGAGTGGTGTCTAGAAGAGGAGCGGGCTCGAGGAAAGAACCACCGCAGTCGAAGATCCGTCCACGGATGGACCTCGAGGCGATCGGCAGGAGTTATAAAGGCAAACACTTGGTCCTCTTCTGGATGACGACGGACCTGCAGTCGACCTTGTTGAGGGTGAAGCTCTCCTGCTTGGTGGCCTCCTCGACGGAGATCCTGCCGAGCCTCTTCTTCATCCTGAAGGGGGTGGAGCGAGGCGAGATGATCTCGTAGAGATCTTGAGCCCTGTTCTGGGCGTGGACCCTCCCCTTGGAGGCGGTCTTCTGGTCGACGGGAACGGGGACGTCGAGGTCCAGAATATCCTGGCACTTATCCTCGGGGTCGTCGGGGTCCTTCTTGGGATCGAGGTCTTCTCTCTTGAGAGGGTCGGTCTCTTCGGAGGGCGTATTAAAAACGTCCGAGCAGTAGCTCTTAGAGTCGCAGATCAGGGCCAGGTCGGAGGACCCGGCTTCGGTGTCCTCGGTCTCCGATCGGTGACTCCTGGCCGAAGCCAAGGATATGGCCCTGGCCTCCGGCTTCTGTGGCCGCTCCTCGTCCGCATAATCTAGGGAGAGACACCTCTTCTCGAAGAGAGCGGGCCCGCTGATCTTGGAAGGGGAAGGCCGACGTTCCTGCACCTGGCGAAGAGGTTCCTGGTCCTCGTTCCTCCTCTCCCCTCTGCTGGACCTGATGGACCCACGGAAGCTGTTCTCTCGCTCGACCGAGAGACAGAACTCCTTGTCGGTCAGCAGGATCTTTTTCGGCAGCTTCATGGGCATCGCGCGATCCTCGTCGTCCTTGTCGAAGGAGGGAGTCCTGAGGAGGCTTTTGACCATGCGCAGCTCGGTCAGAAGGTCCATGGTCTCTTGAGAGGGTTCGCGATGGATCCTCCTCACGGGACGCCTCAAAGACCTGGCATCCGCTTCCTGGTCGTTCTGGTTGTCCACGCTGCCCTGTTTCCTGAGGACGGATCTGACCGTGAGGGGCTTGGACTCCTTAGGCGTCTGGACCTCTGGAGAGGTCTGGTCCTCGGGTGCTGCGTCGACCTCTGGGCTTTGACTCGACTCTGGGTTCTTCTCCCTGTTCGCGTCTTCGTCCGCTATTTTCGAGGTCTTCGGCTCTTCGGGGTCGCAGGGGACGGAGACGTTGCTGGTCCCTTTGCCTATCGTGGCTTGCTTCTGCATCCTGGCGTGGAAGTTCGCCCTGGCTCGTCTCTTGTACGCGGCGTAACTCTCGGCAGGTACGTTCTTCAGCTCGAATTTTTCGTGGAGCTGTCGGAAGGTCTCCCTGCCGATGTCCCGTTTGCTCTTTCTGGAGGCGCCGTCGTCCTTGGACTCGAAGAAGGCGTCTCTCCTAAAGGCGCCCTCGCTCTGGTATCCCGAGGACGTCTCGGACGGCGTGGAGCTGACAAAGGCTTCTCTGGATAGCTTCAAGTTGTCCGAGGAAATCCCTCGCCTCTCAAACTGACCTTCCTTGGACGCGTCCGTTTTATCCTCGGCGTTCCTCCTGGTCTCCATCTTGTCAAGGATGTCCTCGGAGGTCTGACGTCTGGTCTTCGTGGGAGAGGCCATCTCGGTCTCCCTCGACGAGGAGCGCTCCTCTCGTCTAGGAACGGTGCCGACTTCCCGTCCCGTCTTCCTCTTCGTCGGGGAGTTCTTCGTCTCCTGAATTTTGAACCCTCCGGAAGAGTCGAACTCGCCGTCTCGGTCCATCGATCCCTTCGCCGAGGCCGCCGTCTCCGTCTCTTTCCTGGGGGAATTTCCCCAGCTCGGCGCTTCCCTGGGCGAGCCAAGGCACGAGTTGGAGAAAATGATCTCCTCGCTGGTGGTGACCCTGCACTTGACCAGCTCCGCCATGCTCGTGGACATCTGCTGGAACTGGACCGGCTCCCTCTCCCGAAAGTCCTCGATGGGGGGCAAAGAGCTCGGCCCGGCCTCCAGGACGTCGTCCAGAGAGGCCCCCCTCAAAGGATCCCTAGGGTCCTTGACCGGCGATGACTGCCCGCGAGCGACCTCGAGGTCCTCGGTCTCGAAGGAGTACATCTTCAGCAATAGTCCCTTCCCGGACCGGGTCCTCTCGAACCCACTCCCCCTACTAGGGACCGTTTCCTCCTTCCCCTCGTCCTTCTCCTTGAGAGGCTCGGGAATCTCCTTCCTCTCGCTTTCAACATCCTGAGACCTCGCCGAGCCGATCTCTACCCTCCTCGGGGAGACGCCTCTGGGGCTGCCGGAGAAGAACTTGTCCAGCGTCTTGGAGGACCCGATTTTGTCCAGATAGGGCCTCTCGACGGCCTTGCTGGGCCCGATCTTCTCGAGATAGGGCTTACCGATGATCCTGGGGGCCAGCTTGGCCAGCAGAGGGCGGTCCTCCGTCATGGAGATGCCGATCTTCCTGAGGAAGGGCCTCCTCTTCTCCTTGTCCCTCTCTTTGTCGCGCTCGAGGGATCGATCGCTGAGGCGATCGTTGCCGTAGGTCGAGGAGTTGTCGCTGCTCTTGGAGCGGGCCCTCTTGTTCCTCGGATGGGGAGTGAGCGGGGTCCGGGGGGTGCGCGGCGTCAGCAGCGGACTAGGCTCCTGGTTGGGACAGGTCTCGTCCAGGAGGGCGATGGCGTCTCGCAGGTCCATGTAGGCCTTCCTAGGCAATCCGGGTCCCGGTCGTGGAACCTCGCTCTCCACGCTGCTGTCTCGCGTCGAGGACAGCTCCGCCCTGAGAACGCTCTCTCTCTCGGCGTACGAGCACGAGGGATACGAGCCCCGGTCGCGGGGCCCCGGAGACGACGTGTCCGCGCCCGGAGCTCGGTCCTCCAGGTACCACGGAGTCACGCCCAGGTCCTCGGGCCGCGTCGCCGGGCTCTGGGGCATCGGGCCCCGCGACTCGGCGCCGATGGGGCCGCTGGGCCCTCCGGACCCCCCGGGCCCCAGAGCGCGGACCCCTTCGGCGCTGACCAGCGGCCGCCGATAGGTCGAGCAGGTCGCGAAATGGGGAGGTGCCGGCCTCGCCGTCTCCACCACAACCCGACCTTGGGCACAGGGCACCACTGGCTCCCCGTCCGCAGGGGCCTCCTCGGGGGTCAGCGGCAGGGCCGCCCCGCGGCCGAACTCGATGAACCACAGCTCGTCCCTCAACTCGCTTTCTCACTTCTTCTCGTTCATGTCCTTGTTCAGGTAGTGCAGCACGTAGTGCAGCACCAGGTCGTAGCAGTACTTGTACTCCGTCTGAGGACATTAATGATACAAATAAGTGATTTTCACTATTCATATGTTCATCCTTTCCGTTCGCGCCAAATGGATCGCGCATCTCCGGGTTTCGGGTACCAACCATGTTCTCGACGAGCTGGGGCCGATGTCGACGCACGGTCTTCACCGCCTGGAAGATGTCGACCTCGCCGTGCTGGATCACCTGCTCGATGCAGGCATTGGCTGCGCAGTAAACTCCGCATCTACTCCGACCATCCGGAGAAACGACCGCCACGGGGCCGTAGTCCGTCCTTTGGCGCCACCTCTCCACCATGTTCATCAGCTCCACCAGACTGTTGGTCGAGGTCGGGACCTTGTGACCCATGGGCCAGCACGTCAGCTGGAAGAGCTGCACCGTCTTCGGGGGCGCCTTCACCCCGGCCATCAGCTCCGTCAGCGACACGATCTTCTTGTTTATCCTGAAGACCTGCGCGAATTCGATGATCAGTGATCGACGATCGAACGCAATTTCGGGGACTCGGGGTATGGGACTTTGGTGCTACCAACCCAGGTCTTGATGTTCGTGTAATGATTGTGGCTGATGTGGTCGATGGTGAACACTGGGCCGTACTTCTTCGAGTGCCTTCCCTCCGGCCAGAAGCTGGGATAATTCGTGGACCCCTGAGGAGGTACGCAGAGAACCACCACCGCCGAACACTCGTAGTCGTAAACCAACGACCAGAACTCGCCGCAGGTGTGCCGCAGCGGCCATTCCGTCACGATGTACTCCCGGGGTTTCGTGTAGCCCTGAAAAGCAGGACGATGTACGAGAAATCCCCCGTGACAAAGAAAAATCGGCAGGACCACTCACGTCCACGAAGACCGCGTTGATGTAGTCGGTGAAGCTGTTGCCTTGGAAGCTCGTCAGGTACGGTCTAAAGTTGTCGGCTGAAAATTGTAAAAGAAATAATTAGGAGCTGAGTTATCGTCTAATTGTCCTAGGGATGGTGGAGAAGACGGAATGCTCACGAGGAACCACCAGGACGTCTCTGTTCTTCTCTCTGTTGTCCGCCCTGTGGCCTCCGGCGCAGTCGCCGATGGTGAATCTTGGAGTCTGCTTGCAGATCTGCTGATACTCTCTCTGGTATTCGTTCATCTTGGTCAGGGGATTTTTTATGCTCTTCTGTTTCAGCCTCTGGGACAATTCCGAGACCGGGAACCACGAGACTCCGCAGACTACGAACTCCTCCAGGGTGTCGTACACGAATTTGTATTGATCCTGGAGGAAAGAAGCGAGATTAAATTGAGACGCTTTAATCAACCCCGATTTAATCAACGTAAAGACTTACCAGGTTTTCTATGAGACCCTTTCTACTCTGTCGCAGCTTCTTCAGGTACCCGAACACGTCGAAGGCGTCTTCCTCTTCGGCGAGTTCCATGTTCGCGTCTATCGCCAGGTAGACTCCTGACCGACCACCTCCGTCGCTGCGAACATTAATTTAGATATTAATCATCGAAAGTATCGAAAAGGAGGAAACTCCAGGAATTAAACGGCAGCCGTAAATTCCATTTCCCTGTACGTGCTACATCATCCGACGTGTACAGAGCTGGAACGCATAAATGCACCTCGCGATGCACCGAGATAACTGATGCACCCGAAATTCGTGGTACAATTAATGCTAACTGCAGCTAATTATCCGCATATTCCAAAGTACTGCTCGTGGGAGAATTACTGGAAACTTGGTGCACCGCTTCGCGTGAAAGGGATTGCACTTTGCCCAGGTGGAGGTATTTTAGGTAATAAAAATGAACCTCCCAATATTCGAAAATTCAATTCCCTCGCATAATGTAACGTTAATGGGAGTGTAATTGAACTCACTTGCAGTGCACCACCATGGGCCCCGACTCGTTCTTTATGGTGGACCCTACAACGGCCCTGACTCTCCTTCGAAATTCCAAAACTGCATTACCAAAGGGACACGTATGGGAGTGCCACTCCGTGTAATGGAATTGAATCAAGGTCCTCTCTTCCGTGATCTCCTAAAAAAAGGAAAGTAGGAAAGAAAAATTGAAAAGTACTTAAGGCCAGGATTTACGACTCCGGGGGCGAATTCAGAGGATAACGAGGGATGAGCTACGATTATTTTCCAAGGGATGACAGGAAGTTCCGGAACTGGCTCGCGTTCATTTGTAGCCGACATCGACAGGCTTGCAAAAAAAGAAAAAAAAAAAGAAAAACCAACTGGAGGGCAAAATCGCGGCAAGAAACGCAGTCAACGTTTGCCAATCGGAGGCTAGCCAAGAGCTTTTGCAGTTTACGTTGACTTCCGGTGCGTTAAAATCGACGGCGAGTTAAATCGCCTCGAGGTCTGGCAGGGAAATAAAAAATGGAGGGAGGAGAAAGAGGAATTTCTCGGGATTTCTCTCGCGGTTTGCGAAACGTCTTTTGGCGAGGGGTTGAAGGAAAAGGACGCGAACGCGGAAAGTGGTCGCTCTTACGTACGGTCGAGGGAACATTCCGAAATAAATCCAAAGATCGAATTAAGCTCTGGCACAGTTTCCCGGGTTAGCGGGAAAAAGCGGAAAACGGGAGGCGGGAGGAAGGAAAGCAGGACGCAGTCGGGTAATCATGGGATGGAAACGAGATAGAAACGAGTTACCCGGTCTCCTGGTTTCAGGATTCCCTTCTCAAAGGGACAGGTTAAGGCGATCCCGGGGAATCGCCGAGGCGTCAGAAATGAAATTTTCCAGGGAAATTCAGTTCCCCGATAAGGGCTCGAGGTCCTTGATAAGAGGTCGCGGATCGCCCAGGGCCTGGGGATCCGATAGACCGGGGAAATTCGATCGCGGGTGCTTCGCGAAACGTAAGACCTCGTCCGACGAAAGAGAAGCGATCCCAAAGTAGGATTGCGAAAGAAAGATATAAAAAGAGGGAAAGAAATTCCGAGCGCCTCCGCGTTCCATTTCGGTTGATCGGGAGGAAGGACGATTTTTATTTTCAAGGATGATAGTGCCTGGTATCGGGATAAAGCCGCGGAAAGGCCGCGGAAATTCCGGGAGTGCAATGAGAAGGTGGATCTTCCCTGGGGAAAAAAAATAAAAAAATAAAAAACATAAAAGATAGAGGGTGGAAGTTCGTCCTGGAAGTTCTGCGAGAAGAGGACCACCCCGAAGGTGGTGTCCACCGGGACACAAACGTTCGAAGGATCCATTAGGACCCGCCTCGTTTCGCGAAATATCTTTGTCATCTCGGTAAGTTTCTCGCTAAGACGTCGGGCGGTTATATAAATACATGTACTTGTACATATCTATGTACGAGGTAAGAGTCGCCGGTTACGCCCTTAACTTTTTACCATCCCTGTCAGCCCCGACTCGCTCCTCCGAGAGTCTCCGACGAGTTAACGAGCCTTTCGAGTTCCCGCGAGTTCTCGGGGAAGGGAACTCGCTTAGAATACAAAATGGCGGGCCGCGTTATTCAATTACGCGCCGTGCCGCATCCGGGATTCGGATAGGGAGGGAAATAAGGGGCGAGACCAGCTCCACTCACGTCCTTCTCGTTTTTCTTGTAGAGCCTTATCGTCCTTATGTGGAAGTTGGCGAGCTCTTCCTCCTTCAGGACGGACACTCCGATTCCGCCGTAGTCCTCGTCCTTATCCTTGCTCGCCGGCCAGTACTGCACGCACATCACCTGGAAAAAGGACCCGGCAATTTCATCCTATCCTGGACCGAAGGAGCCCTGTCGAAAATTCCGCATCCGGTAACCACCCCGATAAGAAGCTCCTCCCTTGGAGGAACGGCGACGCGCACCCTGGCAAATCCAGCCTTCCTTTCCCCCTAAATCGCTCGCAGAGGAAGGGATTCCCCGGAAAACGGGCTCGAGAATTTCCCTTCGCACCGCGTATAGGGCTTGACATCGCAGTGAAACGTCTGGAGATGAAACAGCACGAGGCCGTTTCCTCGACGATATTTCTTCCGGGCGCTATTGATTTATACGCGTGTCGTTGGAAAAGCGCTCCCTGAGATTCAGCGGTAAAGCTCGGGGGCCGGAATTTTCCCGGGGAAATTCCCTCCGGTTACCTTTCCCCCTTGAAAACCGAATTACGAGCAGAATCTTACCCCTTCGTATCAAGGAGGATCCCGATCGAGGTTCCGCTCTCCCAGGGTACGAGAAACTCTTATTCTCTGGTCCACTCATTTTTATTTCTTCGTAATTAATTTCTTCATCAATTTTCATTTGAAAAATGCCGAATGGGGGTGAATCTTTCTCCGAGTTTATGCGTCGACTGGTCGAAAGTTCCCGGGGGTCCGAATTAAGCGAGCTTTTATCTCGACTTCCGCTACCGGAAAGCGAAGCGAAGCTCGCTTCCGGCTTCAATTCGGCGGTATCTCTCGTTGCTCGCGATCCACCGAAGCGCGAATTAACCCTCAGTCGGTGTACCGATTGTCGCAATTACGTTGCTCTCCAACAGAGTGGCCCGAAACTGTCCGACCAGTGATTTTCGTTCCAAACCCAACGAGGGAGGTTTTCAGGAGTTTTCCGGTCTCCCGGAGTCGCGAGAGCTCGTCCTCTGCAAAATTAATAACCCGAACCGTGTAGCAGGGTACAGAGGATCCAGATTTACAGGACCTGCATGCCGGATATAAATTCAATAATTCATCCCCCGTAACGTAAATCCGATCCTTCGCCCTTGATAAACCATACAATTCCCATCAACATTAAATGCCCTTCCCCATAAAATCCGAGGAAAAAATGAACGCAATAAATTCCAGTCGAAGGCTCGGAGTTACTATGTAAAAGTCCTTACGTCATGTAAGGATTTTATATTACGATCCGCGTGTAAATAATTCATAACATCGTTGATCGCCCCGTTCGAATAATGGAGGGAGACGGAGCCCCCCCCAGCGACGTTCATGCGTTTCACCCCGAGTGCATTAAAGCGATTTATCGAATATCGAATATCGCGTATCGGTGTACAGCCTGCCGTGCATTCTAAGGATTGCCGGCGCGAATCCGAGAAGATATCGCGAAAAAGGGGGATAAAAAGGAAGAGAGGGAAAATTTACACCTTGGGAGGGGAATGCGGTCGATAGGTGAGCGAGGCCGGATGCGTTAATTAAAAACCGCATAAACGACCTCACGACGAGGTATACCGTCGTGAGGTCGTTTTTACCCGCGACGGGAGAGGCGACCTCTTCGTCCAGGATGCTCGCATCCATTTTTAATGGGCCCCATCTCGAACGAGATCTTTCACGGCGCTATCCGCGATTCCTCTGCATTATTCACCCCTTTAAATAGCACCCCATGAAAAGGTAACGTGTCCCCGAGAGGGCGAAAAATAAATAATTCCCCTTCCCGGGTGCGGAAATATTTTACGTCCCCCTCCAGGCGTGACAATGGCCGTCCTGCTATCGTAAAAAATTCGGCGATCGAGTTAAGAAAAAATATTCCCACCCTCACAGCCTATCGATATCCGGTTTACCCAATCAGATGAGTTCCGCGGGACCAAAATTGGAATTCCCGGATTCCGGTGCATTAAATCCGGCTTTTTCGGGGAGGCTTTGTGCACGCGATGCGGATTAAACGCGGCCGACGCCCTGAAATCAAAATATTTCACGATGGTAATCAAGAAATCGACCTGGTTGCGAAACAAAGCCCGGCATTCGCGGCAAAGTGCTCCACTTTTGACGGCAATCCGAACAGGACGCCACCCCTGCTGGGTCGCTTTTCAACCGCGCGCGAATGCCGCAGGTGTCGAATGGCCTTTGAATAAAAAAAGGAAAACTAAAAAAAAAAGAGGGAAACTTCCTGCACAGGGATTCCAGCAGCTGGCAAGAGCGCTGGAAATATAATCCGATGATTTTTTAAGCGATGTACTTATATAACCCCGAATCAGATGTACCCCTAACTGGACGTACGTGCGAAAAAAGCATGTAAATGGTAGAAATATACGGATAGGGATTTTTTTTACGTCGAATTAATAATTTAAAGTGGAATTGTCACCTTTTTACGGGCGGAAGGAAATGCATGGACTTGGACCCGATGTACCGAGACGTCGGTTTTTTGGTTTCAAAGCCCCCGATAAGAATGGCGTTATTTACGGACACCTCTGATAAATCGTCCGCGAGTATTCCAGGAGCGAAAGAACCATTTGCCTGGCCAGCCGTTCCCGAGGGAACTCCGCTCATCGATTAAAGGACCGTCCCGGGGATAGCGAGCAACTCCGGAACTTGTCCCGAAGACGGGAGGTCCTGATTGCACGAGGAATTTGCGAACTCCTGGTGATAAGCCGCCTAAGTGCTGGAATCCTAAATTGCTGGGCTCGACCCTGTCCACTGGGAGATTAATGCATTCGCGGGGAACCCGACTTCGAAATCCATCTTAATTTTGATAAAACTCCTGCGAAAGGGATTTTTCAAATTCGCGTCAAATGACGGAATGCAATTCTGGGTGCACCGGAAGGAAGACGCCGAGTACCGATTGATGACTTGGACGTCCCTTTGCGTAATCCACGTCAATCCGGGCCCTGATTTTGGGAATTGTCGAGGCTCGAGGTCAATACCGCAGGGCAGTTCCGGTCAATCCCGGGTCGATTCCTGGTCAATTCCTGGCCAATTTCCACCGAGGGAAACGAAGGTACCCTCCACCACGTCGCGTTGCAACTGCACCCGACACATCACGACGTTAATCGAATTGGCAACGTCCTCGCGCATTTGTCGCGCTAGCCCGAGGAAAGACACAAGTTAAGGCAAACGAAGTTAGGTTAAACAATTTAAGCCTGATCCGGGGATTTAGCGGTCGCGTCTCGAGAATCGGGTTTTCCAGAGGGAAACTGGGCTAACGACGGCGACGAGGAAAATCGGAGCCAATCGAGAAATCCTCGATTAATCATCCCGATCGACCAACCCCTAAAGAACTCGCCGAGACAACTGCATTACTTTTTTTTCCCCATTATCAATCATTTGATTGGAATTCCCCCCTTAAGGATAATACTTCAGAGATTGTATTTGTTTATCGGGAACCTTTTAGGATTTTTAGAAAATTGTTTAGAGGGGACCTCGCAGCCGGGAGTCGAAAATCACGAGATCCTTCGTAGCCGACTCGGGAGGTTCGTCCTTAACTCCCTTATCGCCCCTCGTCCGGAGATCGAGCTCGACTTTCGACTGCTATCAGGCGTTGAAGGCGATGTATATGTCGCTAAAACGTGGAATATGAGCCCCGAGTGTCACGAGAGTTTGTGGAAATTAAGTTTAGCCGTGCCGTTCCTCGCGTCAGGGATTCGGTTAGGAGGATTTTGCAACAGGGGTTGATTTGCGCTCCCAGAAATGGACGTCGAGAGTCTCCCCTTAATCCGCCGGATGTCGCGTGAGATGATAAGGGACGATAATCCATCTCAATTGGGGATTGAAAAATTTCCCCAGAAATCTAACTCGTCCCTCCGCGTCCCTCGAAAAATCCGCTCTCAAGGGCTCGTCGCCTTTCCTCGGCCAATTATTATTTTTTAAACGTTTCTAATTTTTTCTCGATGTACGAAGACTTACCCTGATGAAGTCGAAGGTCTTCGTGAGCATCACGATGCAGGATGCTCGTTCCTGCCAGACCATCCTCCAGAATTCCGTGACGGTGTGCTCGGTAGGTCCCTGAGTGACGATGTAGGCGTTCGGCTTGAGTATGCTCTGCAAAATCGGAATACATCGATCGGCTTAAAGGGTGCTCAAAAGTCCCTCGAGGGTTGCATCCACCCCCCGAGGTGACGTGCACCCGGGGGATACGTAATGCACCGTCGAATTTGACCTCGGTCTAACTTATGCATTACCGAGCCCCCAGGTAGCCTGGATTTTATTCCAGGATAATTGCCCTCCCCTCTGTCTACCATAAATAATCATCTCCGCTCGTCATAAATATCCCATAATTATGTATTAACTTCCCAATTGGTCCTCTTATCAATCTGCATCGCGATGCAGGGAAATGCCCCCAGGGGACATGCCGGGTAAAAAAAAAATCGGAGTACTCGATTGGCTTTAATCAGGGACGTCATACCTTGTGCATCTTATCGCCAATCACCGGCGATGAGAGTACACAACCCCCCCTGTGTGCACTTAGAATTGCAATTTGCAAATGCATACTCACATCTACGTAGGACGCGTTGACATAATCCGAGTCAGGCTCGCCCTCTATTGTCTCCAGCACCACCCGGTTGTAATCGTCTGCAAGTCAAAGTCGAAAGACAAATCGGGTCAAGTGGAGGCTCGACGATCGCCTTATCGAGGGGACCGCCGTCTTATCGCGGGCGAAGGAGGCCTCCTCGGTCGCGAAGTAATTGTAGGTTAGGGATCGAAGGAGCACCTTATCTCTGCGGGGGATCGAAGGGCCTATCTCTGCACTCTGCGGGGGTGACTCGATATTTTCGCGTCTTATCACCCCCCGATACTGCCACCCCTAGCGCCGTTTAATACCGGCCTCCGCGATTCGTCAAAGAGTTCGCTTTAAACTTCCGCCCCTGTTATCAGTACACGATACCTCCGAGTCGTCACCCCTTAAGACATGGAATTTTCCCAATTTTGTTAATATTCTCCCCTTTCCGCGAAACCCATCATTTGTATGCACCGCCCTTATCACCCATCCGCGCTGTAATTTCCCCCAGAGGGTGGATTTTAATTTTCTTCCCGTCTCGCGGGCTCCGGTGCTCCAGTTTGGACTCTCCATTATTCGGTAATTTTTCTTGGCTTCGTTATTTTGACATTTTTTTCTGAAAAGAAGTCCGTGGAGGGCCACTCTTGAAACCCGCGAGTCACTTCCGACTCGCCGGGGAGAATCCCTCTCTCTCGTTGTCACCTAATTACCTGATGGGCCCATCTCTGTCGGGGTGGCTCCGAGGGGCTCGCACCCTCCTCCTCTTTCTCGAATGCACCCCTCTATCCGTCTCTGTCCCACCTAGCTGGTATCGCCGTGAACTATTTGTACCCGAAGCTAAGCGACCGGAACGCAATCCACGGGGATAATTAGCTCCCTCTAATTAGACGGGGCCAGTCTTTGCAGGGAGGCCTTGGGAAATTACTCGTCTCCCGAGAAAACGGAAAAATGCCCTGAACTTCGCCCAGCAGTCCCGATAAGCTCCCACAGGACGTCCCTGGATCTTCCGCCTCGTGAGGGGTTTCGAAATATGAGGGAAACTCAACGGGAAAAAAATCTTTCCTCATTTCCAGGAGATACTTTTTCTCCGAGGAAATATTTTTCCACGAGGAGGGGGAGTTACCTTATTTTCTACTTACATGGAATACACCTCTGATTTTGATTTTTCTCCCGGTTTGCAGGCCTCGTGGCGTGCCTGCACGAGTGCGTCTCCACCTTGGTCGCTTTCTGCAAAGAAAAAAATCGGAGAAGAGGAAACGCGAGTCTCGTACTCGATAATTCATCCCTAGAATTATCGACGACCGAAATATCGAGAAAAGCGTCCCCCTAACCCTCTTCTCGAGTGACAAATATATACATCCTGGGCTCCCCTTATTTTTCTCCGCCGTATTCTTCACCGATGGCGGCGGTTCCGGGGCATCGTAAAGATCGTAAAGAAATTTTACTTCGCCGAGCTTCCTTTGAAAATAGACCTCGAAGAAGCGCCTCGTACATTTTACATCAGCGGTCGTTTAAGTCGACGTTGCATTTCCAGAGATATTGTTTACGGGGGGAAATATCATCGGGAATTCCGTCTGAGCCAGTTCCTCGTCAAGCATCTTTGAAACGACTTGTATATATTTCGAGCGGAATATATCTGCCGCGCGGAAATCCCTGCGAGCGGTCTTTGATTTCGATCCCGTCTCCCTCGATTTCCAGGGTGATATCGAGTTTCAAAGTCAGGACCGATGACCGAACCAGGCGTCATCGCGTATCCCGTCGGCTGGTAAAATGATCTCGATCGATTTCACGATCTTCCACCCATCGGGGACGGAGAATATTGAAAGATAATTCCCATCCGGGGGAGGCGCGAGGGGTGGAAAATGAATTAATCGGGGCTTAACGCGCCTCGGATGGAGTCAGTTTATCCCATTTCGTTTTCGGGGGTGTTCCCAAAATCGGTCTGGGAAAATCAACCGAGGAAAGGGGTGGCAGATACCGAGACTTTCCGCCATTCATCGCGGATTCCCGATGGCCCGACGTGTCGGGGATCAAAGGATCTCTTCCAGGGTGGAGTGCCAAGACGCGAGACGGGGGCTTTTTCTCTCTCGTTTTCCTGTATAAGTTTTCCATTCGACGGAGCCCTTTCCCGCGAGAGCAAACACCGGGCCAAGAGCAAAAAGCCCCGAAGACAAAGGGGCCAAAAGATACGTTCGGGGAATATGTAAACGACCCCTGTAAGGAGGTAAAGAATCGAGAGTCAAATGGCTCGGCCGAGTCGAAAGAGGAACGGCCCGGGGCTCTGCGGTTGGATCCACTCAAAGAAATTCTTTTCCATCTAGCGTCTCTCCCTTCGCGGTGCCAACTCGCCCTGGAACTGCGGGAAACATCCCCGGAAACGGGGAAAATGACGTCCGCCGCGTTATTAATTAAATAAAAATTAAAAACCCTAGAACGGAATCCCTCGGTCGACTCGAATGGTAGGGAAATTGCTTCGTTACTTCGTTTCTTTCCCTTTTCACCTTTTTTTCATTTCATTTCATTTCATTTTCCTTTTACAAGGACGGAGGAAAGATCATCGTCGCAGCTACGACTGCCGAGTTTGGAAGTTTTTCGGTATCGTTGCGGTAATTATAACTCGGGGTGTTAGAGCGAGTAATTACCGCCCCGCGGGAATCGCGGCGGAAAATCCTTGTAATTAATGACGGGAAAATAGCTGAATTTTCCAGAGTTGTTCCTACTTCCAGTAAGTGTTGTATTCCCCGTGAAAATGCCCCCGAGCGGAAAGATCACTTTCTAAAAAAGAAGAAATGCAATGAAAAGGGCATATTTCCTGCGAGGTGCATCCCCCGGATTACCCGAGTATGATAATAAGTATGCCGACATTATCTCTGATAAATTCAACAAACTCCGGCCCGTGTTTCGCGGCCGCCGCGAGCTTCTCCATTATGCATTACTTTCCCGAACCTTAATTACAACGGTACACCGCTGCATTCCCTGCAAGACCTGGAGAGGATCGATGGATCACCGAAATCGATACGGAGAGACACCTGTTCCCTGCTGATACCTCGCCAGGGTCTTAACAGACTTAACCAGTACCTTAAGGCAGTAATTGTGGAAGCTGGGACACTTTCACTCGTAATTATTCACTCCCAAGGACGATCCCGAGGGAGAAATTTGGAAAATTCGGGCACTCAGTGATAGGGAATGCCGGTTAAAAAAAGATGGGCTCGTCTCACCTGAAACTCCACGCGGTAAAGGACGGGGAACTTTCTTCGGAGTTCGCAGAGCTTCGGGTACTGGGAAAGCTCCGTGGGGGCCGAGGGCAGGGTGGTGTCGATCCCTCCCAGTTCTTCGGCGGCTGAAACGGAAATCGGATTACGTTATACGGAGGCAGTTATTTCAGCCCGTAAAAAGGCCGGTCGTCTTTGGAAATCGGAAAGACCGACCTCGACCGAACGACGCCCGCAGACGGCGCTTCGTTAAGGAAGGAAATCCCGACTTTACAGCAGACTGTAAACGTCGTGATAACATCCCGGGAGATTTCGGAATATCGGAAAAGAGCGCCTTCCATGCCGCCAATGTTTCCTGGATTTTTCCGAATTTTTCTCGCGGCTCTCCGGGCCCTTCATCCGCGCGGGTACATTTTTTAACGCACCCCCGACCTCGCCGTGATACTTTTTTATCCGATCTCGAATCGCGGATCCAATCGTCGCGTAATCGGCCGACGTTCCCATTTCCGCGGGCAACGTCGGCCGATGACAATGGGTGCCGATAGACGTTCACACCGCCGCGGTAATGTCGCACCTACGCCCCCGCCTCGGTACAGGATTCGCAATAACGGCGCAATTGCAGCCGCGGCGATTCGCGATTGCGGCTAAAATCCAGGGATAATAAAGTAACCGCAACGGCGCGAGGACGCGGAACGGATATTCCCTCTTTACTGGCAATTCCGCGAGGCCGTACGAGCGAATTCCGGAATCCGCGGTTCCTGATTGTCCCGGAAGTTGAGGTGCCATCCCGGGTAATGTCCAATTCCGAGACTTTTCCCATAATGCCATGAATCCCCCGAGCGTGCTACCAAAACTTATAACACCAAGAGTCCTCGAATGTAGGACTCGGTCGAGTGACAAGGTACTTGGCGCGAAACTCCACCGTGCTTTTATCACCGATAGGATAATAATCCGGGGGAATTTTCCTATTTCCCTCCTGGTTGATGCCGAAAACTCCGCTTTTCGGATAGCACTCTCGGAAAAGGGAACGGCTCGCTTCGGTAATTCTTTGCGAGGTGCATCCGCTGCAGCTGCATGTGCGCAACCGCGCGAAAGCTCGGCTGCATGTGCGGATGCACCAGCTCGACAGGTCGTCGGTGAAATTCGTAGCTGTCGCTGACGCGAGCCACTAAATCCCAGGACCGAATTGTCATGCCCAGTATTCGTCTAATATCCGTGTGGCCCCTCTCTGTGCGAGGGTGTCAAGGTGTGTACGTACACAAGGTATTGAGGTGCACTTTGCGCAATGCACATTTTTCGACTTGGGCGTTGAAACCTTCTGCGCAGCGGCTTGTCGCGGAAACCTACGCACTTCACCCTTACGCATCTCTCTGTACGAAATGTACCCCTAGGGGGAGGACGAGTGCGTTTACGCACCCCTACGGGTTCGTGACATACGTACACGCCTACGTGAAGATCCACCATAACTCGCAGGCGTGAGGTGTCCCTTTGGGGGCGAGAAACTCATCCCTAAATCACGCCTTTCCAACCCCTAACAATCCGCCTACGCACCCCTCTCCCACGCAGCCTCCTAAAACCGGAGAGAACCGGGGAAACGCATTCGGCCGAAATGGGAAATCGTGGTACTATACTTACGTTAGATAAAAAAAGAAAATACGAAAAGGTACAGGCGGAAAAGAATACCTTTCATTGATAAAAAATCGTTTAATTGTATATTAATTAGTATATTTCAATTTAACATGGATTCCATTTAATCCGTTTCAACCAGGAATTTATTTCCCTCCTCCGATCGCGCCGTCGATTTAATTTCCCGAAATCGAATTTTCCACTATTTTAGGAAAATTATATTGACAATTGCGGGCATTTCCTTTTAGCCCATGGAACGGAAACACGTGTAGAGATTTCTATCTCTTCCGACACGCAGGCTTTATAGTTGATGGACCTTGTGCCGGGTCCGGGACGACCCGGGAGAATTAATAGGTACATCCATTTTTTAAAAACCCGATCAACGTCCAGATAATCCCCATTTATCACGCCATGTCCGCGTACTTCGTCGCGATCGCGATGTCGCGCCCGGAAAGGGAAACTCGAGGTACACCTAAATTGCGACGAACTCCAAATAGTGTGTACCAAAAGTCCCCGTCGCCCTTGATTAATTATTAATCATCCACAGATACCCTCCCCCACGTTTCCAATTTTTATTACACCTACTTATTATTATACCGAACGAGGAAGAAAACCCGAGCGATCTCCGGCAAACGTCCAAATCTTCTCGAAAGATTCCTCCGGGACGTCGGGAATCTTTTCCTCCGTCTCGGATCGAATAAAAAAATATCGAGGGAAAGAAAAATTGGGGAAAATTCATCCGATCAGGGGAGGCGCCTTCATCTCGCATTCACGAGGGTGCGACCCCGGGGCCGGCTCGAACTCTTCGATTTTATCGGCCGTAAATCGTTTACGGGCCCTCGTTTGTCGGAAAACTCACCCCCTGGTCGGTGCAAGTGCAGCGAGGCAGGTGCACCGCGACTTCGCTCTGCACCCTCCGCGACGGGGTGCGATCGCAAAGGTGCACCAGCCTCGACTGTTTGCAACACAATGCTCATAACGAGCTCATTATGTTTTGCCGTTGCATAATGTGCCCCGCCGTGGCGGCGACAAAGCCGCCGTCCTCGGCTTGCGGCGTCATCGCACCGAGAGGCTCTGTGCACGTGCAAATCACTGCACGTAACGATAACCTGCACCGAGAGGCTCAATTTCTGGGCCGCGTAATTTTAAAGAATTTTCCACGTGATAAAGTATCATATCAATCCTAACATTTCGCGTCGCTCCGCGATATTCCCAGCGGGAAGACATGCGGGAAAATTCATGAGTATCGTTTTTACCGCGTAATTATCGGCCAGATTAAAGTCAGGAGCGGGAAGCTCCCGAGGAAATGGACCTGCACGGAATATCGATATCGAAGCGTTTAGTGGTTTAATCATTGTAAGTAGTTACCCCCGACGTATGTCAGCTCGACGTGTCAACGGTGACCCGAATGGGCGGGAGCTTCCGTGTTCTCCCATTACACGGTCGTTCCGAGTTATTACATCGAAGATCTCCTCGATGGCAGGAGGAACGAATCGAGGGGAAAAAATAAGGTCAGGGGGATATCGAGGACATCGAAGGAGACGAGACAGGAGCTCGAAGAGAGCTACTCGCCGGAGACGACCTCCTTGCGACTCGCGTCGTCTCTATCATGAATTTTAACGCGATTCATTTTTAATCAGTTTCGAATGAATTTATAAAGAGCGAAGAGGAGCCGTGGGAACTCTCCGGGGCATTCCGAACCGGAAGTTAAGCTACTTTCCCGGCAACTAAAACGTTCTTACGTCAAATGTACATTTTATATGACTTAAATTGCGTATCACGGTGATGCGCCTTTAACATGTGAATATTTTAAATACCCCTTGGTTTATAATCCGAGGGTCAAGAATTAACCTTGTCACCCGTATGTACCATCTTAGAATTATTTTCAAGGTGGGTCAGAAAATTAAATTCAATTATTTCAGTGCGCGCAATTGCGCTGGTTTCTTTGGCGCCGACGAAGTCTTTCGAAAGCTACTTTGCGACAAGCTCGGAAAGTTGCGGCAAAACCGCAGGCAAACGCATCGCGCGAGCAAAAGTGCCTGCCATTACCGATGCGCATTACCGTCAATGACGGGCCGCGGCATTACCTCCGACAATCGCGGTGCGCTCCGACACGACCGTCTCCGGTAACGACTGCATTCGATGAGTTAGTACCAGCTATTAGCTTTATGCTCTGCACAGAAAGCCGTCACACGGAATTTCGAGAGTGCCCCTCAAAGCGGCGCGGTTAACGCAGCGCCCGAGTGAAATTTACGAAAGCCTTGTGAATTTTCCGGCATTTCCGGCAAAATAAAAAAGAAAGAGAAAATCGTCAATTCGTCGCGATGCCGAAATAGGTGGGCGAGATGTACTTTAATTCGCGGATCATCTTTCCCCTAGGAGGGCCCCGGTGAAATTCTCCCTAGGGAATTTCTCGCTTTCTTCGGGGCGACGTCGCCGTCGGCAAACGAGATTCCTGCCTTAAGGTTAATGCCCCATGGAACTTTTAAGCCCCATAACCGTCCTCCCGGGGAGACTACGAGTGGGTATGGTTTTATTCCAGACGTCCTTTACGGTCCCTGCAGTTCTTCGAGTCCTTACCGTCTTTATACTCTTCCCGAGCTTTGTACCAACTGCGAATATACACTCCACTCCCCGGCAGTGCTCATCGGATAAACCCCCGATTTATTCCCCGACGGTGCTCCGAAAACACGGATTCAAATTCTCGCCCGATTTATACGTCAGCTGTTCATTCGCAGCCTCCCCGACGAATTTCCCTGGATTTCGGACACGTCCCATATTGTATTTTCTTTTTTCCTCCGCATTTCAAACGAAATAAAAAGAGACCCTCTCCCAAACAGTCGCGCCTCTCATTTTCCGAATTTACATATCTATTTAAACGAAGCTCCTTACAGTTCATTACTACTTATAATTATATTCAAGTGTTAGTATCCTTATCTGCAGAACCATGAAAAAGAATGATTAAGAATACATTGAATTAATTAGTAGGACGTATCTCTTTAAATTCGGTACTCGCAATCGTTCGCTGAAATAAAAGCGAAAAAAACAAGGGAAAACTCGAAAAACTGCGAGGATATCCCAGTTTATTGGGATTTCACGTTTAATTCGGGGAGAATCTGTTAGTCTAAAACGTGCCTGGCGGGCTTGCGGGGTTTCCGCGCGTTTAACGCGACATGACACGCGGAGGCGACAGGTCGCAGAAGTCGGGACCCGCGAATTCGTCTCTCCGGCCAATTCGCGCGAATTTGCGATCGCATGTACAACGCGTGTCTCATAAATGTGCACGCGTGTCTCCCGAAATCACTCCCCGGAGGTAAACCGCATAGACGAGGACTTTCGACGCGGTTTTGCGATTAGACAAGACGCGTCCACCCTGACCCAGTTGGCATTGCGGATACTAGAACGCGACGAGCCCGGTCGAGCGAGAAAACGCGTGCAAGAAATTCTAATCGCGTACAAATCTGGCAGAAAGTCTAGCAAATAGGCTTAGCCACCCTCAGAG